TAAATTTCTCGGCCAACGAATATGAAGATGTTGATCTTACGTCTTGTCGATGTCTACAACTTCTGAATCTCAATGAAAACGTTTTATACAAAGAAATCTGATACGAAGTGGGTTGAATCTTAAGCAATCTCCCTTAATTTCATATGCAATAGGTTCAAAGTTCAAACCATAAAACGAGTTAAAAACTGACTCCCGTCGAGAATCTTCTTCTTGTAAAACTGCGGAGTTCTTGACATCTCTCACAACTAACTCACCATAAACATAAGATTATATTTTCTTGTAATTTGAAAAATATTTTATTTATGTTTGGTTTTGTTTAATTTTACTTTGATTCAAACTGATTGTGAAGAATATATAAAACTAGACCGACTTGCTTCATTCAAATCTAGATTAAAATTGACTAGAATAAAATTAGAAGTGTTGATTGTGAATCGCAATGCATGAAAACATAACTAACTAACAAATTAATTATATTGTATTCATCATTGTTTTTAGTAAAATTAAAAATAATTTGTTTGTTCATATGTGACCACTAAATTGATCGGGTTGTAAATAATGATTTTATTATGAGAAAGCAATAGATATATATATAAGGTGTCAACATATATTATGAAAAAAACAAATAAGGGGAGAGCTTATGTAATTACAAAATTAATTTTTGCAAAATGGTGTATATTGGCAAAACCGACTTTTACCAAAAGGATTCAATAATTTTTGTTGACCAGTTTGTTTGTTCATTGCAAAGCTTTTTACAAGCGTCCTCGCACATGGTAGGAATAGCGTTTTTTACCTCTTTCAAGCATTGGGTTGGCACACAGTGTTTGATACACATTTCTATGTTATTCGCATATGAGATTTGTGTTGAAAACATCATTGCGAATAAAACTGCACATTTTCTTTAAAATTGGAGCTTCCATAGCATATAAAATTAAAATGATAATAGTTTTACATTTACAATTACCCTACATATTTACCATGTCATTTTGGTTTTGCGTTAACTTTGTAAGTAATCATGTGGTGTAAACCGAAAACAGAGAACAAGCGAGACCGCAATTGGCTTGCAAAATTAATCACAAATCCGACCCGATTAATTCATTCCTTTGCCTTACCCGACCCGACTCGTGGATTAGTCTCAAAACACGAATCTTGG